TGGTTTGGGTCTGGAGGTTGTGGACTGTTAGGATCACTGGACTGACTGTTTTTACCGGGTTGAGGAGACTGGGAGTTTGCAGACACCTGCAAGGGAAACACTGGTCACAGATGTTTCATATGTTTCACCCTGTCTTTAGGGACTGTCACTGAGATAGCATGGACTTTCAGGATTTTGTGGGGAAGTAGAAAATGGTCAAAAGGACTGATTTAGGTGTTGGTAGGAAGATGATATTTACTGGAAATCTTTTAGTATCCTACTTTTTTTTTTTGGGGGGGGGGGCTAAATGGGGATGCTTTCCAAGTACCTTTTTCCTATAGTTATACATATTTTCAATCACTTTTTGTGCAAAGACCTTATGGCAGTGGTTCCTAACTTTTTTATACTCGCATCCCCTTTCTCCAATCTCTGACACATCCACAACCACCCCCAACATCAGCTGTTCCATTTATATTTTTTCAAACTACATTAATTTGAACAAAGAGAAAAAATATTCATAAGTCTTGAAAAACCTAATTATAAAATATTCTCTGAATTGAAAAAAATCACTTAACTAACATCAATGTGAACACAGTTGAACTCCTAGCAAATGACCTACAATATTTTCCACCAAAGTTTTGCACCTCTGCTAATTCTGCTTCACAAGCTGGGAACTACTGCTCTATGGCATACATCAGAAAACTGCAAAACTGATTTGTTTATTTAAATCTAATATTCAAACTATTGCATCCAATAGAGAAGAGAAGTCCTGTTTTAAGGTCACTAAGATAATTTAATAAATAAAAAATCTGATATGCAGTTCCACCTGTATTCAAGAAGAGCACAAAGTACACATGGTGAAATATTATCAACTTCTCACTGAGAGGTTAGTAGTTACTTAAAAAGATTTACCAGACATAGTGTGCACACTGGTCATTCTTCAGAAGTAAGGGATTTACAATCAGTGTATTGATTAACATATTCTTCCAAAAAAATCAAAGAATGAATGACCATTCTTTAGGTGTTAGGGGTTCAAAAGCTACAACTCTATCCCCACTCAAAAGAATGAAAGACAATCCCCTTAACTCACTGGATCCAGATTAAGAGGGTTGTCTCCTCGTAAAAAAAAATTGGCTGAGGTCAAAGAGATGGAAACATCATCTCATGGATGAATATGACAGAGGTCTGCAGTGCTGCAAATATCTTGTCATGAGCAAATAAAACTTCAGGAGGGAGATTGACTTAGGAAGGGACTTCTGCAACATTTCCATTGGTAAACAAGGGTTAAAGTGAACTATCCATGACCCATGTCTGGGAGAGTATTAGCTCTAGGGAGGACAATATGTTCACACACTAACTTTTCCTGCCTGCCATTACCTGCCGCACCTCACATATTACGGAAAAGTGAATAACACGAAAACGTTTTTAAAATATCACAAATAGTTCATTGTTACTTATTGTTACTGCTTTTAAACAGAGTGTAAGCTACCTTGAGAGATAATATGGAGTATGCTCCATGAAAATATTATTATTATATTGATATAGTAAAACAAATAACAATTATAGACCTTGGAAAATGGCAATGCAGCAAAAGTGTCAAGGATAATAGTTACACCCAGATCCAACAAGTTAATACTGGAGCTTCAGATTCAACTTATTCTTTCTGTTGCTTTTCTTTTATCAAAGGCAGTATCAAATCATTCTTATCTTGGCTTTATTTTTTGCCACTGAAGCCCCAATGAATCATGCAAATCAAATCCGAAGTCTCACCATAGCAGTGGTTCCCCCTCTTCCTCTGGCCCCTTGTGACAGGTGAGGTTGGAGGTTCTGGTGTATGTTTGCAGTTCTATCCTGCTGCCATCTTTCCTGGTAATACTGTCCATTCTTATTCGTCTGCCTGTTCTGCTGATACTGCTGACAGAGAGGAGTCTTTTATAATAAAACGTGGCAGCAAAACAAGAAAAAAAATAAAATAAAATAATAACAAAATTTAAAAAATAAATTAAAAGTAAGACAAACCACATGAAATAAGAGATTATCAAATACAGAGAATCGTACCATAAATATTGACTATAATCATCAAATAGATGCAGAAAAAAAAACAGATAATGTACCATAAATATCAAACTTATAAAGACTACGGCAGCCTACCCCATAATCAAAAATGAATGAAAAGTATGTGGACAGCAGGGGGTAAAATTGTTTCGTGCAGGTTGCCAGATGAATTCAGTGGAAGAACCAGGCTGCATATGATGGTTTTCTGAGGAACCAAACTTAAAAGTTTGTCCTATACTTATACTTACCGAGTGTCCAGTAGGTTTGCTTGGCTGATTCCATGTCTGCTGTAGAGAGTGGTTCCATCTGTTCTCAGGGGGCTGAAATATCACACTAATGTGAATAACACAAACAGCTAATCAGAGCCTTTTATTGTTTTTCATAGATCAATTTCAATGGTGAATTTTAGTAATGGCAACTTCCTACCTTTTGAGAGGTAGTTGCAATTCGGCTACCATGTGAGATGTTTATCATTGCTGCCCAGTGTAGCCTGTAACACTTCTTTGCTGAAGCAGGGCCACGGAGAGTTAGCCCTCCATTAAAGGCTTCATCAAAAAGGATATCATACATGATATCTGCTTCCTTGCTGGCAGGCTGGATTCCTATGATAGAAAGAACAAATTTTGATCAAGTAACAATTTATTTTATAAGGTAAAAGGATTTATTCTATGCATTCCATAACAAGCAAACAAAACTACTTACCAACAACTGTTCCCTTAGCACCAAGTGGGACGGAATGGCCCTCCCTCACATTGACAACTCGATCAAACATCTTATAAGTGACACTACGGTCAGGGGGAGTACTTCCTTGGTATGGATTAGGCTGAAAAAAAAGAAAAGGGACACTGTTAGTGCTACATCAAAGTACTGATGCCTTTCAAAAGACAAGTTAAATGGACATAGTAAATCTTACCAAATAGAAAAACCTACAAAAGAAATGCAATACTATGACACCATTTTCCATTATTAACAAAGATTTTTAACCTCTCCTTAAACATCAATTATTATCATATAATATTCAATACATTGACCAACTTTTTTTTCCACAGTATAATGAAGCTTACATCAAAGTTCTGTAATACTTTCATATTGCAAGAGAGGCTGATTAAAAGCATCTTCCTAACTGTCTAAACTGTACCATGGTCAGTTTTGTTTACACTTTTTTTATACATTTTGATAATCCAATTTCAAACATTATCCCAGTGACATTAGAAGTGTGATTATAGATGTACTGTCCCCTGTGATTTTGTTTTTTATTGTCAGTTTAACTCCTAATGTCCAAATGGAGAAACTACACATGATCCAATAGTTCTTGATCAACCATAGCCTTTCAAAGACTGCCATGCTATTTTCCTGCATACTTCTTCCAGTCAGTGGGAGACATGGAGTCTGAGAAAGCAATTCTGGTAATGTTTTGAAAGTTTCTTCTAGCTACACCCCTCCCTAACCCATCCCCATTACCCTCCCCCCCCTTTTTTTGCCTCTTTGCTTTCCTGAACATAGTAAGTATAAAATAAGGACTCTCACAATGTACCCATACAGTCATTCCCATTCTGCTGTTCCTTTGGTTGTCCCTCGTCTCCCTCAATGAATCCTATCAGTGCCTCCTATCTTTGGCTCTACCTCTTTTCTACTAGTGAATAGGCATAGTAAATATATATTATTATTGTAATATATATGGCATGAATACCACAAGACCCCTCCATTCACCCAGTTCTTTTACATTCCCTAGTCTCTAAACATATCTTTCAAGTGCCATCAAGTATTGGTCACACTTCTGTGAATGAACATGAGTATGAAATAAGAAATCTGGTGATCCATGGCTGTTTACCTTACTTTAATCAATAATATTAATAATGATATAGTAGGAACAGTCCCTATAAACACCATCATATTATCCACAACCCCCTGAAGTCTACATTTCATACTTTCACATTATGGTTCACCTGTATTCTTGTGTAAAGTTATATACATATTTCTCTCTCACCTCCAGTGAATTAGCCTCTGTCAAGTTTCTGCGAAGTACACTAGGATATGCTATGGTGGCAGCATGAGCAATGAGAGTGGGGATCTGTTGTTTTCCATTGCAATTTTGTTATCACTTTCACTCATTATTTTTTCTCTCTCTTTCTCTCCTTCTCTCTATCTTTCTAGCTATCTATCTACCTATCTTACTATCTTTCTATCTACTTATCTATCTTTCTATCTACCTACCTGCCTTTCTATCTACCTATCTTTTTATCTACCTACCTGCCTTTCTATCTATCTACCTAAGAATCTTTCTATCTACATATATCTCTTTCTATATATGTATTTCCATTCCTTCCTGTATCTTTCCCTCTCTCCCTCTCCCCCTAACTCTTTCTTCTTCCTGGCCTCTCTATCTATCTTCCTTTCTCTTTCTCTATCAATCTCCTTATCTATCTATCAATCAATCTATCCACCTATCTATCCATACTATCTATCCATTTTGTCCTATCTATCCATTTCCACCTATCTATCCATTTTGTCCACCTATCTATCGTCACCTATCTGTCCAGTATATCGTCCACCTATCTGTCCACCTATCTATGTCCACCTATCTATCCATTTTGTCCACCTATCTATCCACCTATCTATCCATTTTGTCCACCTATCTATCCATTTTGTCCACCTATCTATCCATTTTGTCCACCTATCTATCCATTTTGTCCACCTATCTATCCATTTTGTCCACCTATCTATCCATTTTGTCCACCTATCTATCCATTTGTCCACCTATCTATCCATTTTGTCCACCTATCTATCCATTTGTCCACCTATCTATCCATTTTGTCCACCTATCTATCCATTTTGTCCACCTATCTATCCATTTTGTCCACCTATCTATCCATTTTGTCCACCTATCTATCCATTTTATCCACCTATCTATCCATTTTATCCACCTATCTATCCATTTTATCCACCTATCTATCCATTTTATCCACCTATCTATCCATTTTATCTAGCTATCTATCCATTTTATCTAGCTATCTATCCATTTTATCTAGCTATCTATCTATTTTATCTATCTATCTATCTATTTTATCTATCTATCTATCTATTTATCTATCTATCTATCTATCTATCTATCTCTCTCTCTCTCTCTCTCTCTCTCTCTCTCTCTCTCTCTCTCTCTCTCTCTCTCTCTCTCTCTCTCTCTCTCTCTCTCTCTCTCTCTCTCTCTCTCTCTCTCTCTCTCTCTCTCTCTCTCTCTCTCTCTCTCTCTCTCTCTCTCTCTCTCTCTCTCTCTCTCTCTCTCTCTCTCTCTCTCTCTCTCTCTCTCTCTTCTCTCTCTCTCTCTCTCTCTCTCTCTCTCTCTCTCTCTCATCTCCCATTCTGTTACTCTCCCTATCTATCTCCTGATCTATCTTTCTATCTCTCTACCTCTCTCCCTGTGTCTCTCTCTCTACCTCTCTACCATGTCTATCTCTCTACCTCTCTACCATGTCTATCTCTCTATCTCTCTCCATGTCTATCTCTCTTATCTCTCTCCATGTCTATCTCTCTATCTCCCTCCATGTCTATTTCTCTATCTCTCTTCATATCTCTCTATCTCTCCCTACCTTGCTACATAGGTAGGCAAGAAAGCAGATCGGTATGTTTCTTTTTATGATGTGTGATAATCTGATGTTCAACTGTTTAATCCAATGACAAAATTTGTTAAACAAATCAAATTCTCACCTAGTCTTTCATAAAGATACAAAGTACAATTTTTTCTTGTTTCCTATTTCAGGGCCAGTACATCTAGTAAATGCAACCCTACCTTAAAAAGAAGATGAGGTCGCACTTGCATCTTCACAGCCTTGGCTCTTATTGTAGATACTTTATCAACCTCTTCCAAGATCATCTGACTTAATGTCTCTCCAAGGGCTTGTGTACCACATGGTTGTCTTTCAGCCTTGGCAAAAGCAGCACTCTTCAGCCATGTGGTTAATTCTGCAACACGCTCCTTGCTGAAAGATAAATTAAAGTATAATACAGAACTCATTATGTCACTTGTCTTAAAAGATACCTTAAAACAGAAATATAATCTGGTTAGCTCAACATATTGGTAAGATCACAAATTTCTTTGCAATTGATAATAAAACAAATGATAGTGTTCATAGCCACAATGAATTCTGATAATCACATATCTTACTGTTAATGCAGTGTAGGCCAGGATCTGTTGAAATTAATAATTATCTCAAATATTATCTGTTAAACAGCATTGGCTTTGCTTGACAATTTTCTTTCATCTCCAATTTACACCCAACTTACAAGTTTTCTGGAAACATCTCGTTTTGATAGAAGATGTCCCTCTGTGCAGAATTGCGTGACATGTACTCAAACACCTCTGGGAACTTTTCCTGGTACTCTCTGATGGCTTCAATAACCTTGTCTGAGTAGAGCCAAACAGGACGCTCACTCTGTTCTTGTATCTTGCGAGTATACCCAATGACCTAATAAAGAATAATAAGAAAATACATTTAGAAAATGTTCCTGATCTATCTTACTGCACTTGTATAAATAAACTTTGTCTGCATTAGTCTGTGTAGATAGAGAAGAGATGAAACATAAAAATGCCATACATCATCCTTACCACCAAGAAGAGATTTATTGTACGGGAAATGGGGGTAAGGAGTGGACCTATAGGAAAGGTTTCATGCCCAATAGTTGATGGTGACTAGTTACAAAGCAAAATCGATGTGCTAGAATTGCGTAGTAGTGAAAAGGGTAAAGAGGAGGGTTAGTTGATGAAGATTGTGACAAATCAAAATCATACAGCCGTTCAGGATAATTTGAAACTAAGAGGGGCAAAGGGAGGTGAGGATAGAGAGGGTCATTAAATGGGCTAAAGTAAGGTTTACCAAGGGTGAATGAACTCATTAACCTCTCATTAAAAATTTGGCTCTGGCACTGTGGTTGGCAGGCATCAAACATTTCCTGTTATTGCCAGCTTGTTTGGTAATTTGCAGGCAACACTGGGCACCTAAGTTATATTTTGACATCATTTAAGAAAATAATGCCTAAAAGTTTCACTATACAAATGATGACACTATTGTCAGAGAAAAACAAGCTACGTCTGATGAGCCCACTGTGCAAGAATGGTCATGATGTAAAGATATTTGGTCCACAACAGCCATGGCATATACGCAAAAGCTACCTGGCGGGGTGGGGTTAAATTTGTTGTGATGTAAAGGAGTCATATGCATATCCAGGAGGAAGCTGAAGGGATAACAGAAAAGCAAGCTAGGATGATGTAGATGTAGCAATGGTGAATGGAATGTGTTGGGAAGGAGAGGGAGGACAGGGTGTAGGAGGAACAGGAGTAGGAGGAGGATGGATGTCATAAGTCACTTTGAGTAGAGAGAGAATGGGAGAAGGGAGATTAAAGGATGGATGAGGTGTAAGTATGTTATCTTGGGGTATGATTAAAAGGTTTTGATTGTCCTCAAGAGTTTCTGAAGTGTCGTAGATTGGGGAAGTCTGATAAATGAAGTTTTTCTTATAAGGAGGAGAATAGGGGACAGACATTTGAGGCTGGGAGAGAGTGATGTAGGAGAGGATATGGTAGGTAGATGGAATGGAATGTTTAGCTTACGGGATAAGTTAACCAAGGAAGTAAAGATTGGATTGTCAGGATTTTGAATAGTGGTAGAGATTGGGCTGTCAAAATCTAGAATAACAAAAGAGCTTGACTGGGAGAGGGATGGTGTAGAAGTAGGATGAGGAAGAAAAATTGGGAGGGGGTGTAGAAACATCTTGGGAGGGAGGGGGAGGGGAAGAGCGAAAGACAGTATTGGAGTAGGGAATAAGAGAAACCTCATCTGACCTCACATAAAGTGAGGCCAAGTCTGAATCTGAACATTGCCCTATCAGATTCATATCACTGACTGGACATGGAAGGCACCCTTATATGCATTTTTCTTTTCAAAAATCAAATTCATAACAAATTGGAAAATAATTTTCCAGGGTCCATCCAGATTACAAAAAATAATCAATAAATCAAATGCACTTACTCTAAATATAACCATTATCATATTCACTTCTTTGTCTTTACCTCATTTTTTTTATTACAACATTAACTCTTTATTTCAATGTCTCACAAAATACAGAATACATCATAATTCATTTCAAAAAATCATATTTCAAATCAATCAAATGAAAACAAAAATAAACTTTATATTTCATAAACTAATATTCCACATACAGCCCTCTACAAACAAGAAGAATGATAATGAATAATAACAAACATATCTCTAAAAGATTTGGGTAACCAATCACAAATTCCTAAAACTTTTCTTAAATGAAAAACACTCAAAACTAACTCACTTCCTCATTTCTTCGATTGTTCTTCAGGTTAAGACCTATGTTCAATTTATTCCTTGTTTCCATTTCTGCCATTGGGTTATCACCAACAGGTGGGGCTAAGAACACAGTCCCTGTTATCCGTGCCAAAAGCTGATGATAAATCCCAGCTCTGTGAGCTGCCTGGCTCCCTGAAAAAAATTGTCAAAGAAATCAATAATTTCTCCAATGATAAATTCTCACACAGATCCATCTTCTTAACCCTTTGCGCTGTGATGGTATAGCATACATGTGATGTCCACAGTGATTTTAGTTTATTAGTTGTCTAAACACATGGATAATAATTCCTGGAGTCACTAAGGAGTCAACTACTAATCACATATATGCTATGAACATACAAAAATGCTAGAGTACTGATCATTCATTCTACCTGTCATGTATCTTTCGACGTGCTGACTTTCCTTTTGCTTTACAACTTCAAGGTTTGGGTCTGTTGTCACTGTCATAGCCACTCGTATTCTTCCCTTCTGGCTTGGATCAATTTCAATCACCTGTTGTAAAAGAAATTATACACAACTTGAAAAAAAAATATTTACAATACTTCACTCACCACTACCCAAGATGCATTATCCATATACATTTCTGAAATTCTTCCCTTCTGTCCTTTCTTTCTGGATATCTCAATCTTACCTCTCCCATACATCCATAGTGTGGCTGCCCAAGCATGAAGACTTTGGAGCGTGGAGGGAAATATTCCTGAGGAGTCAGCTGTTTCCTGTATCCTAAGTCTTGTACTGCCATATCCTTCACCACAACTTGGTAGGCATATGGCTGGATAGTATTGGACCATTCTTTTTCTAGAGTCATTCTTCCACAAGGTGATGCCACATATCTGAATTTTTAATAGAATTATCAAAAGTAAAGATAATTTCCATTTACACCTACATGTGACTAAAGGGAAATTATCATTAAAAGAATAGAGCAAATGCTTCTGTACAAATGTATAAAATGTCCTCTCACAGTTGGAAAATACTTAACATATACTATTCCAGCAACTCAAAAGGTCTGGGATTTTTAAAAGGCAGAACCACATAATGCTAATACAAATGTATTTTACTCACTTCAATATAACATCTGCAATAGTTATTATCCTATATATTTTACATTTCAACCAGAAATTCAAAACATATGTTCAGTGCAATTGAAAATAAACTTACTTTCTTCCAGTCATGGGTTTAGCATACACAATAACATGTGTACTCCCAATCGCAATGCCCCAGCGGTCATGATATGTGGTTGCAATACTTGACTTGACTAAATTATACTGTTCCTTAATACCATCAGTTACAGCTGTCTTCTGCACTCCATCTTTGACAAGTGTGTATTTTTCCTCACTGTTACTCACAGCATCAACCTGGAAAAAAGCGTGTCAATTAAAAATTTGGAAAAAAAAAAACAGCACCGAATTACTCATTTATATATAATCCAACTTACTTTTTATAATGTCCCATATATGTACATGATCAACACTTAAATCAAACCAAGGGATAACTGTTTTTTTAACAGACTATCTTTTAAAGCTAACAAAAAAAACTGTGTTTAGAGGCAAGTACTGGATTATTTAAGGATATTGCATCAAATAATGGACCATATCAACATGTATACAGCATTTGGACTCTTACTGACAACATAACAAACAAAAGATATTGGCATTATCTCATGAAAAACATGTAGAGATACAGATTCCCTCACCTTCAATATTTTACAAAAAATATTTCAATCCAGCCACTTCTAGCAACATGGAATATCATACAAAATCTAAAAATGTGTTAGTGAGCAGGAAGTTTCAAGAGACAAACTGCTGGAAAGTTGAGCTAAATTTAAGGTTTATACAGGTGTGTAATAAGGTGGTGCAGTGGGGTTAATGGCTATTTCTGCCCTCATTCATCATGTAAGTGGAGAAACTTACCACATTTGTTTAATGGTAAAAAAATAGAGGCCAGTCAGTATCTTTCTGTTGGCAAGTACTGAGGAAATCAACATACTTTGTTGGCTAATAAAAATTATTAGATACACCCTTAGGCATACATGAAAAAAAGATAAATGATGACTCTCTCTTAATCTGGAGGTGTAATGTCAGGGACTTGCACAGTAAAGAATACGACGTAAGAGACTTGGGTGGTCCTTCACTCATGAACTCACATTTTCTAAAAAATACTAACCAATGCTTCATTAAGATGCGGCCAAGAAACAAATACAACTTTCCCAAGCAACTGATCGGCAATGTCTTTAAGATCTGGGGTCTCAGTAGGGCTTTTGACATCCAAGATATAGCTCTCTTCTCGGGATGCTTGCATGAAGACTCTCACTCCCTCCTTGGCAACATGATACTGTTCGATGGGGGGAAAAAAAATAAGAATAGGTTCAAGGACAGAATATTCCTTCTTCAATTATGCATTCTTGCTATTTCTCTTTTTTCATTTCATTCAGACTCATAAACACAAAAGCATTAAAAGTTATTACCGTGTGATCAATGTGCTTTAAAGATGGGAAGCCAGCAAAATAGGCATCCAATATGACTCCTTTACATAAGCCCTTGTATATTCTCTCTGGCGGGAGTTCCCATTCTTCTCGACAGATTAACTCCATTTTGTTATGGTTCACTCCAACTGGAGGATAATAAGCTGGTGCCTGTAGGTAACAAGAATATGATTGTTAATTAGTGTTGTTTTTTATTACAAAACCTAGTTAAAACAAAAAATATCTATACATATATATCATATCTCTATCTATTAATCTATCTTTCTATCTATCTATCAATCCAACTTTCTTTATATTACTCTAAAAACATTCCACTGCTTGGCCCTACTAACATTTTCATAGATGTAGAGACTATATTACAAATTGCCACTAAAACAAACATCTATCATTTCCTCCATTAAGCTCAGCTCTTAACAGGCTCTGCAACTAATATCTTTATACTGAACATTAAAATATTTTAAGATACTGGCAAATGAGCATTCAATGATTTGCTATGAAATAAAATAATTGATCCAATACATCTAAAAGCTCTCAAATGCTCAATTAAATTTATAACATTACTTAAGATAACTTTTGATATACTCATGAAGTCCAAATAATAAAACAACTGAATTCATACCTTGTACTCTCCAAGATTATCTGGTGTGTAAGTGCAAATATACATTGGACCATGGCAATTGCGTTCTTTTTCCCTTTTGGTTAGTCTTTCATTGCATGGTTTCATAGCACTTAGAAGTTTCTCCTCGTCAATGAAGGGAATAAGAACTACAGCTTCCCAATCCTACGGGGGAAAATGATTACCTATACTCATACAATATTACACAATTTCAGAAACTTCAAGTTTTGTGTCTCATTTTTTATATCTAGTATCATGTAGAATACATATCATGGAATTGTCACATAATGTTTGCTTTTATCTAGAAAAATTAAACAAATTCAAACCTGAAGTTTCCCATTGAGATCAGTTCTGAAGGTTTCTGGATAAAACTTCTTGAGAGGGGAGTTCTCACTCAACATGAGGTCATGGTAAGCAGTAGGAAGAAGTTTCATACTAATGGGAGGTAAAACAGCCAAGAGTTGCTCGAAAGGCTGAAAGGGTTTTCCCATCTCAAAATTTATTTCCATGTTAGAAAAGTCCTTTATATCTGATATATATGGACAATAGTGATGAGGATAATACCATGACCACGAACAAACTCCATTATAATAGTAATTCAGGATCCACTGTATTCCTCTGACATAACCCTCTGCCTGTTCACGTAAATCATGTGGCGTTATGTGTTCAAATTCTAACTTATTCATATAGTATTCTCTTTTATGTTGGCGGAACTCAGCATCAAAAATGGTCTCCTCACTATCTGTATCTTCGTCATCCTCAAACATAAGATCCTGCTGGATGCCTAGTCTCTCAAACTTTTTCCTTATTTCTTCATTATCCAGTGCATCTTCTTCTAGGGCACCAAAGGCACCATTTTCTTCATTTCCTTCATCATCACCAAAGAATGCTTCAAGATTGTTCTCCCTATGATGTCTGCCCTTGAAGACTTTGTCACCTTTTGACCTCTTACTGTCGAAGTACTTTAAGTCTGCATTCGTGTCATTAAAGATTTCTAAATCAAATTCAGCAAGTTTCTTCATAAACTTCTCAAACCTGCCTAAATGGAGCTTGCCTCCATTATTCAAGTATCCATCAAGGGTTGGCATTACCTCCTTGTAAGTCCTATAAAGAATTGGTAATGCTTCCTTATTTATATGGAGATGTGGAAGGTGGGGGATGAAGTCATTTCCAACAAGGAATCCCATAAGCACCCAATCATCAATAATATTTTCCAAATTGTATTTAAATGGCAGTGAATCCCGTAAGTCATAAAATTCTAAATTGATGTATTCCCTCATAAGACTGAGGTGAAGGAGGTGAAATGTTGTTTCTTCTGGTGTAGGAGTTCTACTGTTATCTTGCTTCCCACCAAAACGTACCTACAAGAGTGAGGATGTTATTAGGACAGTAAATCTAGTTATCATATCTGAGATTTGTAATTTTGGGATTTGTTGATATATAATCCATTTTCCTAATACATCTCAGTGTTCCATGATCTAAAATATAACTGCACTTAAATAACTTACATAACTATGGTAAAATTTATCCAATTCTGTTGAAATTGTTCTGCTACATCAGTAATAACCATCTCAAGGCAGTCCTGCCTTCTTTATCATGAAATATTGTTTAGAATCATGACCAAATAAATAGATGTATATGCCTTATGTTATCCAGTATATAGTAAGGAACATTTTTGTATGTTTCAGCTGATTTGTAAGCTTGTAGAAGGCAAAGGAAAATGAAGTTCTCATGAATCTATGGAAAGGAGGATGATGCATGTGCTGCTCTCTCCTATATACTGACACTAATTAACAAAATTTGGTATTTCATCTTCTTACTAACAAAAACTTTTGTAGTTTCATCAGAAAATAATTCATCAATAAACAGATGTCCTAGTTGTATCAGAAATTAAAACTCTGCAAGACTTTACTACTGAACATGGTGGACATTGTTCTGTCATTTCAAGAGGGTAATTACCATGTTTCATGGGGATAGGAACCAGGTACCAAAACAAGAGGCATTCTTTTTAGCTTGATGATGATAAGTAACTAAAAAACAAAAAAAGTGAATAAAAGTTTGTGACACACCTGCCCAGAATTCAACACATCAGTCTTCTCTGAGTTTTTAATTTTCAAAAATACCACACAATAAATATTTAGAAAATAGTGACAAGAAACATTAAAGGAATAAATGTTCATATTCTTCAACTTACTGTCAAAGAAATGGATATTGAAAGATGTGAATTTTTAGCCAAGAAATTAATGCCAGCAGTTTTATTTCATATCCCGGCAATTTAAAATGATAGAACACAGCTGAAAACAAAATGAATTGACAATATTTTAATGAACAAGACTGTAGGAGAACAATATCAGTCACTTGGCAATTATAAAGTATATACATCTAAAATAAATCACATGTTCCATCACATTTTCCTTAAATTTTGACAACACTTATATATTCTTGCACTCAGCTCAATAAATAATTGAGAAAGAGTTACAAAGTAGTACACTC